GGGAGATATCTGTGTCAACACCAGATGTTTTTTCTTCCAAGGACAGAAGATAATGCTCTGGCCCTTCTGGCGCTCCCTCCTTTCCGGGCAATCTCAAACCTGTTGAAACTGCTTATCTATGAGTCACAAGAAGCCTTATTTTTACATTTCCACATTGACATGTAAAAAATACTGCTTTTTATATGTTGACTACTTTATAAAAGGTGTCTGGCCGGCAGCGCAGAGAAAGTAATAAAACAATAAAACACGTTTATTGCTTTATGGCACGGAGAAGGCCGCTGGGAGGAGAGGTAGGAGCGGGAGGGGCAAAGGGAGCGGGTTTTCTGGGGGTCGACAAAGGAGCACAAAGATTATACATGGTCAGGCTAGAGGCGGGGTTTAGGGAGTGGGCTAGCTGATGTAGCAGGCTAGCATTGGGTGTGAGTGTGGGAAAATATAACAGGATATTACATAAAGGGGAGTAGGAAGTCATAACTTGACTCCAGGAAGAAGGGTGGGGCTTAGCACATGGCCTCTAAGGGCCAGTGCCACATTGACCATGGCACATAGTCTCCAATAGGTGGCGCCACAGCGACTACAAAGGAATTATGAAGACCTTTCACTTTATTCTGCCCTTGAATTTGAATTTGTTAAGTTTGTTTAGCAGACCTAAAAGTATTCTGCTATACAGTTCAGGATCACACCATCTTCACATATGATTAACTTGAATTTTTCTTTTCATACTTGTATCCCTTTTATTTCTTTCTTTTATGTAATGACTCTGACCAAAATTTCAAGTACTGTGTTGAATAAGAGTAGTAAGCATAAGGGCCAGGGATTTAGCTCAGAGGCACAGCGCCTTCCCTGCAAGCAGGAGCTTGTGAGTTTGACTCATGGTACAAAAAAAAAAAAAAAAAAAAAAAAAGTAGTAAGGGTAAGTACAGTTATCTCATTCATGATCTTCAAGGGAATACTTTAACATTTTCCCTATTCAATATACTGTTTACTATGAGCTTCTTGTATATAGCCTTCATTATATTGAAGATTCATTAATACCTAGTTTCTTTAATGTTTCATCATGAAATGATGTTGAATTTTATCAAAGGATATTTTTCTGCATCTATTGAGAAAGTCATGTGTTTTAATTCTGATTATATTTATTTAATACATTTAATTTTTTAGTTTCTATATGTGAAACCTTCCTTGAATCTGGGAATGAAACTAACTTGATCAAGGTGAATAATCTTTTAAGTGTGTAGTTGACTTCTGTTTGCAAGAATTCTGTTTAGGATTTTGTACCAATATTCCACAAAGATATTGATGTGTTCTTTTTATTGTGGAGTCTTTATCTGATTTTGTTATCGGAGTAAAAATGACTTAATAGAATAAATTTGCAAGTTTTCCTTCCATTTTCTTTTCTTTCTTGACATAGACTGTGGATGAGCCTTTCAGCTGATTTTTATT